GGCGACCAACGATTTAGGGCGACCCAGCCGCAGTACGGCGGGTAAGGGCCCAAAAAAAAGACTTCATCCTTCCGCAAACCCAGCTTCCAACAAGGCCCCCAAGGGCCCCCCCCCCCCCCCCTTCCTAACACTTAATCGTAGTGTAGGTGGAATGTTTTTGGGCTACAGTCGTGTTTTGACCCATGAAAAATATAAACATTTCCACCGAATGACATTGATGTGTGGGCGGGGTGATATCCTACGTGGGGTGGTACTGTGTCTCGATCTTGTGCAAAACACGGAATGTCCCCAAAACACGAAAGCGTCCCCCTTACCCCACAACAATCCGACCCTAACCCCCCACGCACCTCCATCGAGCCCTCGCTCTTCCGCCTCTTCGCTCCCCGACCCCTTTGCTTCGACGACCCCGACACGGAACCCCTCCGCGTGCTCCCCCGGCTCCCCCTACCCCCCCTAGACCGCGACGGCCCTCGACTCCCGCCGCTCCCGCTGCCCCTCCTGCCGCTCGATCCAGGCGCCGCTGCAGTAGCCCCCGCACCCGCCGCACCCGCAGTAGCAGCGGCGGCGGCGGCGGCCGCGCCGCCGCCGCCGACTTCTGGGGGCACCGCGGATGGATGCGTCGGGGGTGGACCCCCCCCCTTCTTGCCTCCGCCGCCGCCGCGGAGCTTGTTGACGGCGTCCGCGCGGGCATACCCCGGAGGCAGCGCGATCCCGCACCGGCGGAGAAGGTCTCGAAGCACCGCCTCCTCGCAGAGGGCCAGGCGTGCGGCGTCTAGCTCCAGCTGTAAGAGGAGGAGGAGGAGGAGGAGGAGGGAAAAACAGCGAGCAGCGCCGAGAAACAGGGGGAGTACTCAAGTTTTGCATGGCTCAGTTGTTAGACCCACGCGTCCTCGAGAGGACGGAGCAGTGTTCCCACAGGACTCATCACCGACGGTCAATCATTCAGCCCCCATGGCCAATCATTCCTTCATACTCTGCCAATGGTGGCTCAAAAATATTGTCCCTGTCCCAGTCATCCTATCTATAACTCTATCATTCCCCGCCTTCTCAGTCCACTTCTTATGCCCCCGTTAAGCTACAGGGGGCGGGGGGGTAAGAAGAGGGTGGAGTGAAGCGCTACACGTATAGCGGAGGCGGGGACACGAGGAGACGGCAACACACCCACACAAACTCCGTCGGTAGAACCCTCACCCTTTGAGTAGAAATTGTTCCTACACTTTTACCCCGCGAAAAGACAGACACATTTTCATCGGGCAGCCGGTTAGCGCGGTCGATGCTAGAAACTTAAAACCACACACAAGTCGTACCTGCAGGGCCTTCCGAGCGGGCTCCTCCCAGTTCGCCAACACCCGATCGTGCTCCCCGTCCAACCGATACCTCACGCGCTTTATCCTGGTCGCAACAACGCTCGCTCCGCCCGCCGCCGCCGGCCCTTCCCCGCCCTCGCCGTCCGACCCCGCCCCCTTCTCCCCCGAAGAAAACCCCGCCTTCTGCTTGGAGGAAACCCCGCCGTTCTTCCCGGACTTAGAACCCGCCGCCCCCGCGGACCCTCGAGACCGATTCCCGCCCCGGGTGACGGAGGACGTTCTTCTGACCGGGGTTCGAGCCCCACCCCCCCCGGCTCTCCTCAGCGGCTGCGCGCCGGAGGCATTGTTGCCTATCCCGCGAGTTATGGCTGCCGCTGAATAACCGTCTCTATTATCGCTGCCGGAGGCGGCGGCGGCGGCGGCGGCGGCAGCCGCAGAAGAGGAACGGGCTGCGTCTGGAGCGGCAGCGGCGGCGGCGGCGGCGGCGGCGGCGGCGGCGGCGGCGACGGCAGTGGACGGGTCCACGGCACCCCGGCGGTCTTGCGTCTCTCGCCACCGTACCCAGTTGTCGCTCTTGAGGTGGAGCCACAGGTGCAGCATCTGCCGTGCCGTGTCACGTACCCGCGGGAGCCGCAAAACGGGGGGGGGGGAGGCGTCCGTCCTCTTCCCGGGCACAGCCGGCTGGGATTATTTGCTGGCGGGAGGTTTCGACGCGCATGTACTGCGCGATAACCCCAATTGTGCCGTACTCGACAAAAACACAGGGGAAAGCACTCGTTCAAGGAACACAACACCGGCCATGGCACCATTTGGCGCTACACATGCAAAGAACGCTGTTCTGTACAAGCATGGTCAAGAGCGAGGCTTGGGTCGGGTGCCGTGCATAAATGAAGCCTGGTGCATGGCGTGGACGACGGTAGTCGCCCGCGGGGCATGTGTCTTTCAGCAAAGATTTCTCTCTCTAAAAAAAAAAAACTCCCATCTGCACACTGAGTTTGCACACACTGCCTGTTAGGGCAGTTGTGAGCAGCGGTACGCGTTGAGTAGATACCGTCGACCGACCCAATCAAACCTCATCTTCGACATTGGCTCGACACGCTGCACCCATACAACAGTGACCTCACGAAGAGCACCACCATCCCGCCAGCGACTACAACGCAAAGCTGGAAAAGATTGCGGGTTATTGCACCCTTACGATGAACCACACAACTATTATAATCTTCCGCATACCACCAACCGCCAGAGAAATAGACAACTGCCCCAGAGGTAATCGTAGGTGTAATTGCGAACAGAGCTTGAAGAGAGTGGAAAAAGCAAGGAGGACGGTGAAAGTACCGTGAGACGCGGAGAGATGGCAACCCCTCTAGACTGACTTTCAAAGCTCGATTGCTCCACAGCCAACAGGGTGTGGAAAGATCCCGATACATCTACGGAAAGCCGTCGACGAGAAATTCCGAAAAGTTTGGTCGTGGAGCTGTCGAGCTTTGAAAATAGATACAACGGGGTGTGCCATGCCTCCGCCTCTTATGCATACCATGGGAACAACTTGTGAATGGGGACGGAAACGGACACGAGCACAAGTAGAAGCCTCGGTAGACGCATGTATTCCTCTTCGTGTGCTAGATTCCGGAGAATAGCCGAGCCTCGTCCATGATCCCTCCTCACGGGATACCAGATCGTGGCCTTGAAGAAGTATTTTCTGTTTTCAACCTCACTGAGATTGACATCCTTTCATTGGTCACCGGTTAGAGCCGTCAATACCAGTATTAAACAAAACACACGCGGGGTTCCAATCATGATGGCCTTTAGAAGCGTTCTCAGTTTTCAGCCGCACCGAGCCTGACGTATTTTCATTGGTCAGGCGGTTAGCACGTGAATAGGAAGGAAAGGGTGTTTGTTCGCGTTAAGACTGACGTCCTTCCACTTGTCAAAGCCGATTGGCACGGTCGATGCTATTTCAAAACGAACACACACACGCACACCGGCTGACGTCTTTTCATTGGTCGGCCGGTTAGCGCGGTCGATGCTAATAATAAAAAAAACACAAACACATACACACACAAAAACACAAGCACACCTCGACCGCGGCCTTCCCGTACGTGGTCTCCACCTCCCCCCCCGGTTCCAGCCGGCCCTCCACGGCCAAAGCGAAGGCTCGCCCGTCAACCGGCAGGGATGGCACCGCCTCTTCCTCCACGTAACAGTGCGCGCGCTCCGACGCTTCGCTGCCCCACGCGTCTCGCACCAGGTCGAACAGGCCCTCCTCGGCTAGAGCTTTCGCCTGCGAGGGCGCCGGGGGGGGGCGTACTCAAGTGTTGCATGTTCGACCATTGGCCACGCGTCCTCGAGAGGATGGCACCGCAACTCACCCGCAGAACAACGAAGGCATGCATGCTACACCCTTCACGCGAAACCCGCCTGCCTGCCTGCCTGCCTCCCACCTCCCCCCCCCCTCCCTCCCTCCCTCCAACACCAAACGTATGCCTACCTCGTCCGACAGGTGCTCCCCGAGTGCCACAACATCCAGCGGAACCCCCGGTGACACCGACGCTCCAGTCCCTCTCGCGGCCACCACCATCGCAGCGTTCGCGGCGGCGGAGGCAGCCACGCCAAGCCCGCTTCCAGCGGCCGCGGCGGCTTGCTGCGTCACCCCTCCTCCGCCCACGCTGCTACTGCCAACGCCGGCGTCCGTCGCCCCGGTGGGATCTCGCAAGAATCGTGCGTACATCGCGGCCTTGGCGGTCCCTGTTTTACGGGGGGAGGGGGGGGGGGGGCGTACTCAAGTTCTGCATGGGCTTAGCGGTGGTGCCCACACGTCCTCGAGAGCATTGTGTTCCGACGCGGGGGTTGTCATCAAGCGTACAACGATCGGTTGCTTGATGGTGTGCCGTCAGGGCGAAGATGTGTGCTTGCAAAAAATGGATGGAGGCATTTCATAGGCCCCGAGAACCAGTTGTCACAGGCAGGTCCAAGAGCACGTGGGTGTGAACGCAACAACGGGGGGTTGGGGGGAAGCAATTGACGTGGACGTGGTCCCGATAGAATGCCGGTACGTGTCAAGCCCATGTAACCGGCACTATACCGGGCACCCGTACCAAAAAACTTGGATATGTCATCTGTGTCATGCGATCGACCGGCATTTGTTCCGGGTACACGGCATTATTCAACCGGCGCTATATCAGGATGCCGGTCGCCCCGGTGGTCTAGTTGGTAGCCTCGTAACCTTCTAGAGGTCAGGTCAGGGGTTCGAATCCCGGCGTAGGCGAGCTTTTCTTGCAAAGTGAGTTTTTCTCTCGCTTCCGCTCCTGGCCAAGTGGATAGCGCTAGTTCGTGTGTACACAGAGGGAAGAAAGTGCTGAAGTCTTCTCGCATTAAAAAAAAATTGAAGGCGAAGTACCGCAGGAGGGGAGCGTAGAGAGAGGCTCTTCTGTGTGACCACGGGTTAGAATAAACGGCACTAGTGCTGTGAGCGCTGATTTGAAGTAAAAAATATATATATATATATATATCAGTACATCAGGTCCACTACGTTGCGCATCTCCATGGCACCGAAATCCGCAGCAAAGTCCTCCTGACCCCCGCACAATGGCAGACACAACGTTGTCGCAACTGTAAATTGGGCTGCATCTCATCCCACCCGCTAAGCATGTCACACACCTGTCTGAAATATTTGCCGCCCCGCCCGCATCGGAAGCAGCGCTCCCCTCCCCCCCACCAGAAGTGGAAGCAAGCTGCGGCGTCGCTGCCGCTACCGCCGCCGCCGTGCCCCCCCCCCCCGGCGACCGGGCGAACGCATTGACGCCGCTCCCAGCGTCCACCACGCCGAGCTCCATAGCGGTGCTGTTGCCGGCGGCGGCGGCGGCGGTGGTGTCGTTGGAGCCCGCGATGGCCGATAGGTTGGACGGAGACGGGGCCGGCGACGGCACGCCAAGGGTGCCGACCGAAAATGTGGAGGTCGTCGGAGAAGAAAGGGAGTGGCTACGGGTGGCGGTGCCGTCGCCTCCGCCGGACATGTTCAACAGCGGCGCTAGTTTCTGACGCTCCTGGTTAGGCAGTGGAGGGTGGGTGTGGAGAGAGAGAGAGAGAGAGAGAGAGAGACAGAGACACGGACAGGCAGACAGACAGACAGACAGAGACACCGACAGACAGACAGACAGACAGACAGACAGACAGACAGACAGACAGACAGACAGACAGACAGACAGGATTGGTCCGAGAGTTGGAGCCTGAGGCAGAAAGACACCCAACGGGTACGCAACGGATACATGCAGCACGTATGCATACGACAGGTGAGAAAAAGAAGCCGTGGTTCTCTTTGCGGCAACACGTCGTGAAGCCCGCCTGGAACACCCTTCCAACGCCAGTCATCGCGGTCAACAGAGAAGGCCGCGCTGAGGGATAATCACCCTCTGATCCCCCCTGAGCGCACATATCCACAACCCGACAAGCAAATGGCAGCTGTACCCGGTTACATCACAAGGGCGAAGAAAAACGAAGTGTAGCGCTTGCTCTCTAGTCAGTCTACAGAAGAAAAACGACATGTAACCCCCCCCGTCAAACTAACCTGAGACGGAGAAAATACGCCTTCGAAGGTGAGCCCCGTCAAGGACAAGGGGTCCGGCAAGCCTTCCACGGCACGGGAACGCGCCTCCCACCCCGCACTCACAGCAACCGTCGCTGGCCCTGAACCAACCCCAACCCCACCCACAGACACTGCCGTATTGGTTGTTCGCGGGGGCGTCGTCGTCGACAAGAGCGGCGTGGGCGGGGGGGCTCGCGGAATCGTCCCATGAGGCGGACCGGAAGAGGGGGGCCCCGTAGACGGCACTCCTGCGGAAGGGTGCCAGGCGACGCTGGTGGTGGCGGGGGAGGGTCCCGACAGCACCGCTTGCCTTGGCCCGTCTCCTCCTGACGAATCGGTGCCTCCTGTTGTGCTGCCGTGGTTTCCGGGTATTGTTCCTTCAATCTTAACAAGCGGGGAAGGTGGGGGCAACAGAAGGCGGAGGCGAATTCGAAAGGTGTGCTTGTGTGTGAGAGTAGCGTGTCGTGATCGCTGCTGGATGACGACGCCGTTGTCCCATGTGCAATAAATCAGAATACGGTTTACTTTGGCGTTGAGGGAGGTACTTCCTGCAGCATTCAGCTCGGGAGAGCACCGGCATCGGCAGCGGACAAACAAACGCCAACGAAACAACGAGACCAACAACATCAGAAACTCACCGCCAATGACGAAGAGGCAGGAGACAGCATCGACGGCAACGCCTCCGCCGCCGCCGCCGCCGCCACCGCCGCCACCGTCTCGCCGCGCCCGGTCCCTCTCAGCGCGCGCGGTTGCGCCGCAACAGCAGGGGCGGCAGCCTGCGGGGGAGACGACTCACGCTGCTGCTGTTGCCAGCTGACGCTAGGACCCTCCTTGGCCGATGATGATCCGGCACCAAACACCGCGCCGCTGAGTCCCCCCGCCCGCCGACTGTAACCGGGACGATCTGCCGTGCTCCCGTGTCCGCACCACCTGTTGGCCGGG